GAAAAGGTTTCAGAGTAACAGCCGTGTTAGTCTGTCTTTGCAAAAAGAAAAGGAGTACTTGTGGCACCTTAGAGACTAACCAATTTATTTGAGCATGAGCTTTCGTGAGCTACAGCTCACTTCATCGGCTGCATACTGTGGAAACTGCAGTAGACATTATATACACACAGAGACCATGAAACAATACCCCCTCCCACCCCACTGTCCTGCTGGTAATAGCTTATCTAAAGTGATCATCAAGTTGGGCCATTTCCAGCACAAATCCAGGTTTTCTCACCCTCCGCCCCCACACACACACAAACTCACTCTCCTGCTGGTAATAGCCCATCCAAAGTGACCACTCTCTTCACAATGTGTATGATAATCAAGGTGGGCCATTTCCTGCAAAATCCAGGTTCTCTCTCCCCCTCACCCCCCTCCAAAAACCGCACACACAAACTCAATCTCCTGCTGGTAATAGCTTATCCAAAGTGACCACTCTCCCTACAATAAGAAAAGGAGTTCTTGTGGCACCTTAGAGACTAACCAATTTATTTGAGCATGAGCTTTCGTGAGCTACAGCTCACTTCATCAGATGTATACCGTGGAAACTGCAGCAGACTTTATATACACACAGAGAATATGAAACAATACCTCCTCCCACCCCACTGTCCTGCTGGTAATAGCTTATCTAAAGTGATCAACAGGTGGGCCATTTCCAGCACAAATCCAGGTTTTCTCACCCTCCACCCCCCCACACAAATTCACTCTCCTGCTGGTGCTAGCCCATCCAAAGTGACAACTCTTTACATGATAAGAGTGGTCAGTTTGGATGAGCTATTGCCAGCAGGAGAGTGAGTTTATGTGTGTGTGTGTGTGTGTTCCCCCGGGGGGGGGGGGAGAAAGCCTAGATCTGTGCTGGAAATGACCCACCTTGATTACCATGCACATTGTAGGGAGAGTGGTCACTTTGGAGGAGCTATTACCAGCAGGAGAGTGAGTTTGTGTGTGTATGGGGGTGATGGGGTGAGAAAACCTGGATTTATGCTGGAAATGGCCCACCTTGATTATCATGCACATTGTAGGGAGAGTGGTCACTTTGGATAAGCTATTACCAGCAGGAGATTGAGTTTGTGTGTGTGGTTTTTGGAGGGGGGTGAGGGGGTGAGAGAACCTGGATTTGTGCAGGAAATGGCCCACCTTGATTATCATACACATTGTAGGGAGAGTGGTCACTTTGGATAAGCTATTACCAGCAGGAGATTGAGTTTTTGTGTGTGGTTTTTGGAGGGGGGTGAGGGGGTGAGAGAACCTGGATTTGTGCAGGAAATGGCCCACCTTGATTATCATACACATTGTGAAGAGAGTGGTCACTTTGGATGGGCTATTACCAGCAGGAGAGTGAGTTTGTGGGGGTGGGGGGGTGGAGGGTGAGAAAACCTGGATTTGTTCTGGAAATGGCCCAACTTGATGATCACTTTAGATAAGCTATTACCAGCAGGACAGTGGGGTTGGAGGGGATATTATTTCATGGTCTCTGTGTGTATATAATGTCTACTGCAGTTTCCACGGTATGCATCCCATGAAGTGAGCTGTAGCTCACGAAAGCTCATGCTCAAATAAATTGGTTAGTCTCTAAGGTGCCACAAGTACACCTTTTCTTTTTGCAAAGTTCATAACAACCATTAGCTCAGAACAAACACACCCATGAATTTATGAGTCACTCTTTTATCCACTTTGGGTCTCTGGTCTGGTCCTAAAGAAACGGGTATCAGCAGACAATGAGTTTCTCCTCAGGCAGCAGCATCAAAAGGATGGGTCTGGAAGTGAGAAGTGGCGTTCTCCTCCTCCCAAGTATTTCCTGGGAATCCCACTTACCTTTGTTTATCTAGCTAGCACATTGTTTCAAAGACTCCTTTGAAGCTCGTAACATTTCCTAAGATTTACATTTGTCATGGCTCTTAGAGAAGTTACATACAGTCCACAGTAATATTTGGATTTTTAATGCAATGAACTCGTAAAATACTTAAACTTAATTTAATAAGGTTTGCCAGGATGTTGCAGGAACTTGCCATATCTGTCACAGCATCCTTTTGAAGAAAAGCCACCATAGACCTGCAAAGTAATATGTGTAATTACTCCATGATATAATGATGCTTACACATTTTAAGTTAAGTTTATTATTTAGAATTTCCCCAATATTTTATTGACATTTTAGCCTACATATTATCTCTCCAGCAAAATACTGCAAATTGCACTTATTCATGGGAAAACTGTTCCTTGCATACACATGCACACACGTACTTCACAGTTTCATGGTAATCAAATCCTCATTAAATATCATCCTAATTCTTGCTAACTGGGCATTTCTGTAGAACTGATGTTTATCCCTTACGCAAAACACTTCATATAAATGACACAGTTGAAAGGTCAGTATTGGCAGCAGCTGTGAATGGGAGATTACAACTGAGTGTTTTAAAAGGGATTTCACCTAAATTTCTCTCTCTTTCTCTCTCTCTCTCTCTTTTAAATTTAATATCAGGAATGAACCCAAGAAAAAGCCATATGTTTAAATACTCCAGGGACACATACAGTAAAAGATGATGGATGAGTGGCCTTTTTCTTCACAAAGATTTACATGGTTGTCTTGAAAAGCACTCATTTTATGGCATTAATTCGATCCCAAAATGATATACTTAAGGGTCATTAAGCAGTTTCAGCCAATCAAACATTTGGTAACTAGGATCCTGTTCATACACTACTCTCCTATTGTTTCTCCTTTGTCTAACTACAAAACAGCCTAGTCAACAGTCTGGTCTCCTTTACCTTCCATGAATGATTTTCTCTGATCAATTTTGTTTTCTTTATCTAAAATATGCTTAAATAGCTCCATCTATTATTGGTGATGGCTTTCATCTCAAGATTTCTTAGGCTACAAAGCTTCTACAGATGCTTGAGTATAGATACCTGTTTGTTTTCTCCTCCTGCCCCCAACTTTTGTCTCTCCAAATCCACTTTTCTGATCAACCAGGGATTGGAAAATGTGGAATAACCGAATAAAACTGACTTTGCAGCATCTTGAAGCGCTACTTTCCCTGGGAGCATAGAGCTGTGTTGAGATTAGAGGAGGGAAGGATTCACTGCAACAGAGTTAAGATGAGGAGTACAAAGGTGCTGACAGCAGTAAGTATTTCTTGCTTCCCCTTTATTTGCTTCTGGTAGGCCCTAGTATCTTCAGGATTTTGATTTTGATTTTTTCCCCTTCAAATCATAGGCTGTGACCTAGTTGGAGTCTTGCCCAATAGGCTGAAAAATACTGGTGTGATTCGCTATCGAACAAATAGTATCTAATAGTATCTAACAATATTTAAATACTGATGTGATTTACTCTCCAACAGATGCTGCTCAGTTACAGCCATTTAAAATCTATGGCCATAGGGGCCATATAAGAACCTAGATTTGTAGACAGATATGGAATAAAAATCTCAGCTATTACGTGTGATAGGATGGGGTTAAGGTTAGGATGTGAGAAAATAGAGCAACTGATAAAGAGGATAGCAGAAGGCAGGCTTAGCACAGTTAGGAACTGTACCACATTTCAAATGGTGAAAGCCATATGGTGGTAATCATATCATGTATCCTTAAATCTAATTTTAAAAAATACTAACTTTTATGGAAATATACATCTAGCATATTATCTGGATTCATGTACAATTGGATTCTGGTTCATGGCTTTGTTGCTAAAAGCAGAACACGGTAGTCCATTTATTTTCCAGTAATTTTGGCAATAGAATGTTGCATTTTTAATGTGGATGTTGTGTTGCAATATGAGAATATTGCATTGTTCCACATTTGAGTTGCACTCTGAAGTGAAGGAGTTGTGTTTTGATATGAAATTTTATTGCAATGTGGTGATATCGTATTGTGGCATTTTTGTGTTGTTGCATCTTGGGATTAGTGCTGATTTGTGAGACTGTAAGACATATCATTGCTAGGGTCCTACCAAATTAATGGCTGTGAAAAATGCATCACAGACCATGAAATCTGATATCCCCTGTGAAATCTGGCTGGTGTAGGGGAGGGACAGAGCTGGGGGCTCTTACCATGTGCTGGTCTCCAGATGCTAGTCTGGACAGGCTGCAGAGGGAAGGGACTTCCTCTTCGCCTGCAGGGACCTCTCTTAGGGCTGGGTCAGACTCACTGCCAGGAACCTCCCCAGACTGCAGTAACCTCCACAGTGGTTATACTGTGACCCTCCCCCACAATAGCCTTGCGACGCCCCGCTATGGTCCCCTTTTGGATCAGGACCCCCACAGTTACAACACTGTGACATTTCAGATTTAAATATCCAAAATTGTAAAATTTACTATTTTTAAAATTCCATGACCATGAAAATGGCCAAAATGGACCGTGAATTTGGTAGGGCCTTAATCATGGCATGTCTGCCCCACACGTACAGGGCCCAGCAAGGAGCCAAGGAAATACAGGACACGAGAGTGAAAACTAAGGAACAGAGTTTACTTTCATAGCGCGCACTAGCACGTGTGGTCCAGAGTCAGGCACAGTATAAATCAGACAAACAGTGCCTTCCGGTTGGCTGTTATTGCAGGACAGCCTACAGTGGGGGCGCGCTGGGAGGTGTCACTGCAGCAGGCTGACCAGACAGCAAGGGTGAAAAAGCGGGACGGTGGGGGGGTAATAGGAGCATATATAAGAAAAAGCCCCCCAAATCGGGACTGTCCCTATAAAATCGGGACATCTGGTCACCCAACACTGGAGGGACGGGTGAGGCAGCGACAGACCGTGGTAGTGGCTGGGATGAGGCCATGTGATCCTGGGGCACTTGGCCCCTCCCTGGTGCCTGTTTACTAACAGACACCTAACACAGTCTAGCCATAGCCACCACAGCTGCCCGTGCGAAGAACGGGCCTCCCAGGGTTCTTGCCCTGAGCAAAGATGGCCGCCGGGGTGGGGGCAGCGAGCAACGGTCTGCGTCACGTGGTTAGCGCGCTTGGGACTCGGCCTGGCGGAGTCTCTGGGGGAGTTAGGGCAGGAAGCGGAAATGACGTTTTAAAGAAGCGCCTGGGGCGAGCCCGCCTCGATTGCATGGCGATGAACAGCCGGCTTCAGGAGATCAGGGAGCGACAGAAACTGCGCCGGCAGCTCCTGGCCCAGCAGGTAGCGGGGGTGGGGAGCGGGTTCGACACGAGGGAACGTAGGGGCCGGGCCGGAGCACTCCCGGAGAGCAGCGCCCGCCGCGGAGGGCTGTGTGTCTCAGCTGCTCTGACCCCGCCCACACAGCTGCGGCAGGCGCGCTAGGCCTTCCGCTGGCAGGTGCGGGTTTGCCCCGTGGGTCCCCTCCCCGCCCCCCTTTGGCTCCTGGTGGTTAGGTCCCGAGGGCGGCGGCGGCGGGCCCAGAGCGCTAGTGGCGCGGGGGAGGCAGCGTGCCACGGGCCGTGCCCGCGTGTGCCCCCCAGCCCCGTCCCGACGCTGCTGCGCTGCTGGTCTCCAATGCAGCGTGTGCTGAACGTAGCGGTAGGAGCCAGTGTCTGAGTGACTGTGGCATAGCGAGGGGTCAGTGATCAGAGCATCCCCGGTGCAGAAACTAGCGGGCTTAGGCTGGGTTTGAGGTGGTTGTGGCTGTTACTTTTTGCTGGGGTGTAATATGTGTGTGTCTGTGTGTGTATTGCCCTTCTTTCAGTTGGGAGCTGAAAGTGCGGATAGTATTGGTGCCGTATTGAACAGCAAAGATGATCAGAGGGAAATCGCTGAAACGAGAGAAACCTGCAGGTCTGTATTGAAGCAGTTCTCTGTTAAAAATCAGTTTTTGCTCAATGTAACCTATCGTTTTTTGAAAGAGGGGGAGAAAAGAGCAGGATCAGTTTCATAAGACAAGCATTTTTTTTTCATCCAGGTTAACAAAAGTAAAGAAATGTTAGTCCACATCAGAAAAGAAGAATTAAAAAATATTTCACAATCAAAGGCCTCTGCTCATAAATCTTATTGTCTTACTGAGATTTTGTTCTAAAAATAGCCTTGCCATAGTAGTGTCCCTACTTTTCCTGTGTTTACAGAACTCCATTCTTTCACTTGTGATTGCAAAGGGAAACCTTAAAACAGCTCTTAATTGACTAGGAGAGAGGCCTTTGTTAGATCTGTTTAACTAGCACTTGGTACAACACTGGATGTTGAACTGAGGTGGTTGTTAGCCAGTCCTGGAGGACTATAAAAACAAAAGGTAAAACTGTACAACACACACAAATGCAGAAATAGTAAAAGAAATACCCTAGCCAACCAAGTTCTAACAATATTAGAGCCAAAACATGCTTACCATAATCACAGAAAAAATCCCTTTGAAGTGATTGACTGCTTGTTTGAGTAAGGCAAGCAGGATTTAGCCCCCATCTTCAAACTAATCCTTGGAGACAGAAACTAATTTCAGTTACTCCAGATTTACACTAATGAAATTCTAACTTCAATAGGAATGATTACTGGATTTACACTGCTTCAACTGAACTGATAATCTGACCATTAGGGTCTGGTCAGTTTGAAACACTGCAAAGTAAATGTGTTATTTTAAGGTTCTAGCAATATAAGCAATTAAGAAAATAAGTTAGAACTCTTTAAAAGAGTTCTTTTGTCACAAAGCTGTGGCAGTATGGTATTATGAGAGAGGCGGTCCCAAGCCATTTTAGGCTTTATAGATTAAAACTAGGCTTTTAAATTCAATTCAGAAACTAATATGCACCCATTGCAGATAATCCCAGATTATGAAATATGTTCTAATGTAATAAAGAGAGAGAAATTGCTTTATATCTATGACTTTTCTATATGTTTTTAGGGCTTCTTACGATACTTCAGCACCAAATGCAAAACGGAAATATCCAGATGAGGGAGAGGCTGATGAAGAAGAAATTGAAGAATATAAGGTTAAAAAGACAGTGAAATAACAATCCAAGAAACAGATTTTTTTTAAAGTGGTGAACTTTCTGTGCTGAATGATAAAAGATTAGTTTGTGGGAAACTTATTTCAGGAAGTCAGTCACTAAAACTGTTAGATTATATTTCATGGTATTGATATGCCTCATGTAGGGCTAAAAGAAAAGGAGGACTTGTGGCACCTTAGAGACAAACAAACTTATTTGAGCATAAGCTTTCGTGAGCTACAGCTCACTTCATTGGATGCATTCAAAGCTTATGCTCAAATAAATTTGTTAGTCTTTAAGGTGCCACAAGTCCTCCTTTACTTTTTGCAGATACGGATTAACACGGCTGCTACTCTGAAACCTGTCATGTAGGGCTGTTTAACATATATATTTAATGATTAAGTGTCTTCCATGGGTCGTCTTTGAGCTAGCGAGGAAGTTTAGGTGATGAGGAGAATCCCTTGGATGCAGTTGTGGTGCACTGTTCTAGTCTTGGTACATAGTAACGTCTGAAAGCTTAATTATTTTCTCATGGAGGTCGTTGGAATATGGGGATGATTACTGTGAGAATATGGGCGGTATTGGAAGAGACAAGTTTGAATAGATGTGGAAGGGCAGAGTTAGAGAGGGCCTTGATAGCACAGACGAGTATGGTGGTGAAGGGTGAGCAAACCAGTGGACAGATTCAAAGAAAGGTGTGATGTGGTCATAGGAATTGGCTAGGAACATGTTACTGGTAATGTTGTATGAAAAGAAATTGTGATATGTATGTGTTGAGGCCAAAGAGAAAGAGGTTGCATTACCAAAATGGGAGATGAGTTGCTGGCCAAGAATAAATATTTTGCCGTACACGTACAGTATATTTTGCGGGCCACCGCTTCCCACAGTTCCCATTGGCTGGGAACGGCGAACTGCAGCCATTGGGAGCTGTGAGAGGCTGTCCCTGCAGACGTCGGGTAAACAAAGCATCTCGTGGCCTACCAGGACCAAACTGTGAACCAAGTTTGGGAACGCCTGCACTAGACTGAATATGCCCCTTGGGATAACACTAATAAACAGTTATAGATTGATTTGTCAGGTTTATGAAAACAAGAGACATAGTACTGATTCAGGTTTTACTGCTTATCTCTCACTGCAGTCTGGACCTGCAACACTCTTAGTATTCTTCTAATTCCAGAGCTATAGTGAGCATAGGTGGCTAATAATGCCTAAGTATGTTGTGGTTTTGTTATACAGACAAAAATCTGTCAAGTGAATAATAGAGACTAAAAAGCTCATTGTGTTATCTAAAGCAAGGTTGAGCCCAGGTTTTCAGACATGAGAAGTAGTGCACTAAATCATTGCCCCACCCAGACACTTGGGAATTTCTGATACTGAAATCCTGTTGCTTAAGATAGAAGAGCCTTAGCTAGTAATGTAGATAATTCATTAATGTCTAGTTGCCATGTTAACATTACTGAAGTAAAAGTAAATAAAGAGCAACTTGTACTTTTTTGAGTACAAAATCAGTTTTTTTTGTGTTTCTCAGGAGTTGTTGTGAAATCCTGTATGTAGCACTGATATTTTCTCTCCTCTGTGCCATTTAAAAAGAATTATTTAACTGCTAGGCTTAAGGAATAGAGAGGTATTTTTATATTGGCATTTCTCAAATTGTGTTCTGTGAACTGTTGATAGATCACATGCTACTTCTACTTGCTACTAGCTGCTGTAGCCTATTTTACGATTTGTATTGCTGTAGAAACCAATCTGCACTTGCTCGGGACACTGTTGTACTTTAGATTGTGAATGTACCAGATTGGCATCCTTCTAGTTTTGTAGTCTTGAGCATACATACATGATGATTACCTTTACAGGGAAAGGAAATTTCTTGTAGTTTTTTAACGGTAGCAGTTAGCCAGTCACCCTTTTTGTAAAAGCTTTGAGTTTGTTAGTTAGTTAGGTATTTTTTGAAGATATGGTTGGGGAGAAGGAGTTAAGTGTTGGCTTGTATGATGGGCTGTGGTGACTCATTAAAACATTGGCAGTAACTCACAAGAGGGGGTCTTAATTACTAAGGCTTTCTGGTTTCCCCTGCACAAAAAAATACTTTAGTAGGTATATATAAAAAGGGAGTGTAAACTCTTCAGGATAGTGCATATCTGATTTTGTGTTGTGTAAAGCACCACATATATTTATGGTGCTTTATACATGCTTACTTATTTTCAAGGCCTTGTTGGTAACCCGAGCTGCATAGTAATGAGAGAAAGAGTGCCCTTTTTGGCAACATGTCAGTTATATTTCTTTTCCAAAACTGGCATTGGAAACATTCATGATCTACTGTTGCAGGAGGCTTATATTCATAGACAGCCCACTTCTTCCTTCATTAAGAAGCGGAGTCATAATGAGGAGAGAAACAGCATGTGCCTACATGCATATAAAATCTGCTTTATTCCAAAGGATGAAGTAGAGCTGCATCAGGATGAAGAGAACTTGCCCTATGAAGAAGAGATTTACAAAGATTCCAGTACCTTTCTGAAGGTAATCCCCTTTTGCGCCTTGCAATCATTGCTCTCCTATCATGTGGTTGCATTAAGCTGTCTCAGCAACTGAAGCGGTTTGAGATATTTTATGGGATGAACTTATGCCTCTGAATGTGAGGTTAATGAAGGGTCTTTATGGATAACATGAAATTAACACTTGGCCTTTAAATTATTCATGAATCACTTGGCCAGTGTCTGACACAAAAGTGCATGTTATCAGCCTGTTCTATTTTTCGCCTGTTTCAGGCTTGCAGCGAGCCATGGTATCAGTGAACCCATGCCAGTGGCTAAAATTTATAAGAATACATAACTTGTGTATTGCAGAATCTTTACAGTGTAGAACAGTGGTTCTCAAACTGGGGGTTGCGAGGTTCTTAAATGGGGAGTCGCGAACTGTCAGCCTCCACCCCAAACCTCACTTTGCGTCCACCATTTATAATGGTGTTAAATATATAAAAAAGTGTTTTTAATTTATAAGCGGGGGTCGCACTCAGAGGCTTGCTATGTGAAAGCGGTCACCAGTACAAAAGTTTGAGAAACACTGATGTAGAATGATATGTTGAGGAAGGGGCAGAACAGTATTTTGTAAGCTAGAAAGTTTTTGCCATGTGGTATGTAAAATCAGTTGGAAATGTGCATGACCTGAATCATCTCTCCCCCTTTTTGTTCCTTTTTTCTATAGGGAACCCAGAGCTTAAATCCTCACAATGATTATTGTCAACACTTTGTGGATACAGGACACAGGCCGCAGAACTTTATCAGAGATGTGGGTATGTCAGAATAGCCCAAACAATTAACTAAGAAAGTTTCTCACTGTTTGCTGTAATATAGCTTCACCTCTTGCTCTTCTTCCCGACCCCTCCTTCTCCCGCCCTAAACTGTAATTGTTTGTATTTGGGCATGCTGTCTTTTTTGGTATTGAAAATAAGAAAGGGAATGGAAGTGTCTCTCTGTTCTTCCATTTATAAAATTACCTGGGACTTGGTTTTTGTCAGTATCAGTGTTATAGAGGTAGGAAAATGCTATTGCCCGCTTTATTTTAAACTATTTAGTTTTAAAAGCTTTTTAACTGGTGAATTTCATGTTCCAGTGTGGTGTAGTGCAGTGGCTTTCAACCAGGGATCTGTGAGCTGTTTCAGGGGGGCTGCAGGGCCCCATGGCTGAAACCTGGATCTCCACGTCCTGGAGCCCAGGCGAGGCTGTAGCCAGGAATCATGGGACTGAATCCCAAAGCCTCGGCGCCGCCCCCGTGGGACTAAGTCCCCGCTTTGAGTTGTAATTTTTGGTTGCCCCCCAACCCAGACAGTCTGGGTGGCCTCCTGAGGTGAGTTGGGTTGAAGGTGGTGTTCCCTCCCTGGACTCCACTGTGCGCAGCTGGCCTGAGCCCCGCTAACCCTCGCTCCCCCGCACCCCAATGGAAGTCAAAGTCTCTGCCCCCACAACTGGGCCCTGGAGTTTTATAGCAGGAAAACAAAGGTAGAGAATCTCTGGTCTAGTGGACTGATCAACTGTCCCTAGGTCCCATGGACAGTTTTCTAATCTTGGTTTAGCAGTTGGTTTCATTGTGCTGCCCCAGAGAACTCATTTTACATCTGTGCATTCCATATAAAATGGGAAAATAATACTTTGCAAAATAAGTTAGTTCTGAGAATTCATTAGCAATGAATTTAGCCTACTAATATAGAAGAGCATAACTATTTAAGTCAATGTAGTTTCACATGTTCAGGCCAATGGTGAATTTACTCAACTGTTTGAAAAGTGCTATGTAAGTGCTAACTGGCTCTGTGTTTTGAGTTTGTAAAATTAAAATAACATCCTTTGGTCCTGTCCTCCAACATGGATGTCTCATGGCAACGTAGTTTAAAAAAAAATCTCTGAAATATTTTATCTCACTGTGAACCAATTATAAGACTGTAAGATATTCAGAGAAGGGATTGTGTGTTTGTACAGCTCTTAGCACATCTTAGTCATGGCATCTGGGTGCCTCTTCAGTATAAACATACTATCACAGTCTTTTGAACACTTCAAAAAAATCTTTTGGCATAAGGTATTGAAATAAGAGGTTTTAGATAACAAACTGCTTTCCAGGATAAACAGGATATTCATCTTGAGAGCTCTGATTATCACTCCTAAGAAAATCTGCATATTCTGAGTCAGGTATATCTATATTCAGAGTAGCGGCCGTGTTAGTCTGTATCCGCAAAAAGAAAAGTATTACCTGTGGCACCTAAGTGACTAACAAATTTAATTGAGCATAAGCTTACGTGAGCTACAGCTCACTTCTTCTGATGCATTCAGTGGAAAATACAGTGGGGAGATTTATATACATAAAGAACAAGAAACAATGGGTGTTACCATACACACTGTAACGAGAGAGATCAGGTAAGGTGAGCTATTACCAGCGGGGGGAACGGGATGGGAGACGACCTTTTGTAGTGATAATCAAGGTGGGCCATTTCCAGCAGTTGACAAGAACATCTGAGGAACGGGGCAGGAGGGAATAAACATGGGGAAATAGTTTTACTTTGTGGAATGACACATCCATTCCCAGTCTTTATTCAAGCCTAAGTTAATTGTATCCAGTTTGCAAATTAATTCCAATTCAGCAGTCTCTCCTTGGAGTCTGTTTTTGAAGTTTTTTTGTTGAAGAATTGCCACGTTTAGGTCTGTAATTGAGTGACCAAAGAGATTGAAGTGTTCTCTGACTGGTTTTTTAATGTTATAATTCTTGACGTCTAATTTATGTCCATTTATTCTTTTACGTAGAGACTGTCCAGTTTGACCAATGTACATGGCAGAGGGGCATTGCTGGCACATGATGGCATATATCACATTAGTAGATGTGCAGGTGAATGAGCCTCTGATAGTGTGGCTGATGTGATTAGGCCCTATGATGGTGTCCCCTGAATAGATATGTGGACACAGTTGGCAACGGGCTTTGTTCAAAGGATAGGTTCCTGGGTCAGTGGTTCTGTTGTGTGGTGTGTGGTTGCTGGTGAGTATTTGCTTCAGGTTGGGGGGCTGTCTGTAAGCAAGGACTGGCCTGTCTCCCAAGATTTGTGAGAGTGATGGGTCGTCCTTCAGGATAGGTTGTAGATCCTTGATGATGCATTGGAGAGGTTTTAGTTGGGGGCTGAAGGTGATGGCTAGTGGCGCTCTGTTATTTTCTTTGTTGGGCCTGTCCTGTAGTAGGTAACTTCTGGGTACTCTTCTAGCTCTGTCAATCTGTTTCTTCACTTCAGCAGGTGGGTATTGTAGTTGTAAGAATGCTTGATAGAGATCTTGTAGGTGTTCCGCTGTCTGAGGGGTTGGAGCAAATGCAGTTGTATTGAAGAGCTTGGCTTTAGACAATGGATCGTATGATGTGGTCTGGATGAAAGCTGGAGGCATGTAGGTAGGTATAGCGGTCAGTAGGTTTCCGGTAAAGGGTGGTGTTTATGTGACCATCGCTTATTAGCACCGTAGTGTCCAGGAAGTGGATCTCTTGTGTTGACTGGTCCAGGCTGACACCATCAGAGGGCCTAATCACATCAGCCAAGCTATCAGAGGCTCGTTCACCAGCACATCTACCAGTGTGATATATGCCATCATGTGCCAGCAATGCCCCTCTGCCATGTACATTGGTCAAACTGGACAGTCTCTACTTAACAGAATAAATGGACACAAATCAGAGATCAAGAATTATAACATTAAAAAACCAGTCAGAGAACACTTCAGTCTCTTGGGTCACTCGATTACAGACCTAAAAGTGGCAATTCTTCAACAAAAAAAACTTCAAAAACAGACTCCAACGAGAGATTGCTGAATTGGAATTAATTTGAAAACTGGAAACAATTAACTTAGGCTTGAATAAAGACTGGGGTGGATGTGTCATTACATAAAGTAAAACTATTTCCCCATGTTTATTTCTCTTCACATCCCCCCCCCCCCCCAGATGTTCTTGTCAACTGCTGGAAATGGCCCACCTTAATTATCACTTCAGAAGGTCGTCCCCTGTCCTCCCCGCCCCCCCCAGTCTCTAAGGTGCCACAAGTACTCCTTTTCTTTTTATATTCAGAGTGAATGAGATGTTCATATGCTTGAAAGACTTATTTCACTATTTTTACCAATTAGAGAGAATAATGAATAATCTGTATGTCTGAAGATAAGTGAATGAGAGCTTGCCTTGTTAATATTTGCTCTGACGTATTGTGTAGCCATAAAAGGAATACAGAATAAATGTAATTGAAATTGTTATTTCCGTGAGGTGTCATATGCCAGTGGCTCTCAACCTTTCCAGACTATTGTACCTCTTTCAGGAGTCTGATTTGTCTTGCACACCCCCAAGTTTCACCTCACTTAAAAACTACCGGCTTACAAAATAAGACATAAAAATGCAAAAGTGTCACAGCACACTATTACTGAAAGATTGCTTACTTTCTCATCTTTACTATATAATTATGAAATAAATTGTATGGAATAGAATTGTACTTACATTTCAGTGTATAGCATGTCAAGCAGTATAAACAAGTCATTGTCTGTTTGAAATTTTAGTTTAGACTGACTTGGCTAGGGCTTTTTATGTAGCCTGTTGTAAAACTAGGCAAATATCTAAATGAGGTGATGCGCCCCCAGAAGACCTCTGCATAACCCTGATTGAGAACCACAGTTGTGTGCAGTCGGGCTCTTCTGTAGTAAAGAAACCTATTTGAGGATCAGGTAAAAGGAGTCTCTGGACAACTGTTTCTCTAGACCCTCACACTTTGCAGACATAAGACTGGAGAGATAATTGGTAGCCTCCTTTTTCTCTCGTTATAGGCACCAAACTGCCACTTTGGGGCTTTTTAAACTTTTAATATCAATATTTAATTTAATAAATTTTATAACTTTTAATTAAAAATTTGGTGATTACTTAGGGTCCTGGGCATGGTCCCAGTTTGTCTCCATGTGGCAGCTCTTCAGGCATCAGAAAAATATTTGTGCTTTTGCACCTACCTTGTAGCTTAGCTCTGTTTATATATGTATACTGTGGGAAATCTCTCTTTGATACTTGGGCCCACATCACAGTTAGAATATCTGACTGTCTCTGTCTTTGGTACAGGGTGGATTGATTTCAAATCAAGGTGATTTAAATCACCAAATGAAAAGTTTTGCTTTACTACTTTGATTTTAATCAACTTTTCCATTTGCACTTGAGTTATTTTCTAAAGAAAATCTATTCTCACTGGTTGCTACATTAAAACATGTTGATTTACAGCTAAACAGAGCCTTTACTCAAGATTTGATGTATCTTTTTGCTACCTAGGAGGGTACACTATGACTATGAACATTTATTTAAGCAATTATATAGCTTAATATTTTTAGATTCTTATTAATGGTACATTTTCAGTGTGTTAGAAAATCATGAATGATATATTGGTCATTGGTAATTTAACTTTTTGCTCATGATTTGTGTCAAGCTGCATTAGGATGGTAACTGGAATTTAAACAAACACACAAAGCAGCATATAAAATTTATTTTATATTAAAACAACCTTTGATATTTTGGATATATACACTTATTAAAATATGTTTCACATTTACAACTAAATGATTTATAAAGGAACAGCGGGATTAACTGTAGTCAATGAATTAAACTGATTATTTAGATCAACCTGGGACATTTTTCAGATATGCCTAAGTGAAAGTTCCTACTTGCTTAAGTCTCTTGAAAATGAGACAATAGCCTCCTAAGTTACTTAGGCTGTCCTTCAAACTTCTAAAACCAGTAGATCTCCTCCACTCCATCTTTGTTTTTATTCATAGACTGGAAGAAAGAGAAATTTTCTTGCTTTTTCAATTCCCAGTTGATTTCTCAGCTTTGAAGGAAGAAAATATTCTTTCTGTGCCTGCAGAAGAGGTCACTGCTGTCAAAGTTGATTTAGCACTTATTTCAACAAACTCTGCTTCCAGGTGCTAGCTAGTGACATCCACCGGTTCAGTAGTGTGACTTTCTTTAAAACACCATCAGCAAACATGTACTGCTTGAATGATTCACCTCTAGGCCTGAAATTTATTATGATTGGTGGTGATTCCCGTGTCATAGCAGCTGCATCTTCAGCAGCTAGGCATCTATCTTCATACTTTGGGTTGAGAATATTGGCAAGAAAATGAGGTGGAATGAGTGCTTGATCCGTCCTCTTTTTTACTGCTTGTGGGTTGTTTTTGGGTATGTCTGTTTTCAAAGTTCTTTCTGAATTTCAACAGCATCAGCAATACAGAAACAATCTTTCTGCAGTTTGTCCAAGCTTTCAGTATTTTCAACATATCTTCCACATTTGTCTTTAGTCTGATGTTGACTATTTTGACTGATAGTGCCATCTGTTTTGTCACGACTTTCTTCACAAATTGTCATCAGAATAGGCCAGTTCTAAATAAATAGCTCAAAACAGTCAACCATTGAATATCATTGTACATTTGGGGGACGGTTAGTTTGGATCCTCCTGCTCTCATCAGTGAAGCTGAAGCAAAGTGGTTGTTAGGGAAGAATTTGCAATTTCAGCAACACTTTCCTTTATTCCTAGAGTTGGGCATAAGTCTTTGGCTAAAAGATGCACCAAATGAGCACTACCTCCATATGGTAAAAGTTTCAGGTTCCCTTCATTATCTTCTAGATTTCTTCTTGACTTGCTACATTTGCAGCATTGTCTGTGACAAAGCTATGTACTTGACGCTTGCATTTTTGTTCATAGTTTGTTATAGCTTTTACTGCTACTTCTATGTATTATTCTGTATGGGTATTTCCTGATGTATTAGATGTTTTTGTAAGATAGACAACCCCATCTTCTGTTTCACACAGACGTATTACTGGATCACTCTGTAAATTGGTTCATCCATCGAGACTCAGATTAATGAATTTCCTGTCAGTTTTTCTCATACAGTGTATGCACAAACCTTACAGCAACGTCTACTTTGTAGAGTGGCGTGTAACCTGATTGTAATGATTGAACCATGTCAATGAAATGTTTGTTCTGAGCAAGATGAATTGGAAAATTCGATGCAGAAATTAACAAAGCAGTCTTTTCATCTATGGAAACTTTCTGGAATCTGTCAGTCCTGATTATGAACTCATCCATGATTTTACTGGATGATGAAGAAAGTCTTTTTTGATGCAGGTATGGTTCTGCCTGACGTATGTTCATTTGCAGCATTGCTGCTGGTATCAGCCAGATGGCTCTGCAGTTAATGGTATTGGAGATGATGGACATTCATAAATCCTATGTCTAAGCTGGACCCTGAAACAAAATGGTACAATCAAGTCAATCACTCAGAGCTTTACTCAGTGCATTGCTTTAAAAGAAATTGTAAATGGAAGATCCTTCCTACTGCAGCTGTTTGTATTAGTGTTTAAATCATATGATTTATTTTAAACAGAGTTTTATAGGGAATATAATAAATTATAATGATTACCTAAATCTACTCAAACCCTTATCTCTAGGAACATACCAAACAGCTGTAAAAAAACCATTTTTTTTAAGTTTTAAAATTCATAAGTGCCTTATAAAATTTTACTTTTAAACAGGAAATCTTCACCTAGGATGTTTGATTATACTGACCAATAAAAAATTGTTTGAGAAGTCCAGGAGCAACAATAAAAATGTATTTGATAAATACTTCCACAATAAAATAACATGCCAGTTATATTTTGATTCATAAAGAGGTAATCTACTCTGTAAACAAATTTATGACCGTCTAAATTTACTCGTATGGTAAGACATGGTGGGCTGTCCATAAGAATGGTGCAAAAATAAGTTTACTAACCAGTTGATCCAGATTGTTCAGACATGTCCACATCATCGTTTTCAAAGGCATTGCCTTCTGAGGAGGATTTTTCATAACATTTCATTCTGACAACCAGGGTTTGCATCACTTTGTTCCACTGTTTGCATTTGGCACATGCTCCTTTTTTTACCCAGAGGTACAGGGAATTTCTTGAAAATATTCCCAAATCTGACCTGCAGCCATAGCAGTTTTTTCCCCCTCCAGTTTCCAGGTGTTGAAAACAACATGAGACTGTACTCTCTGAAGGAATATTGTCCCTTTTTCCCCCATAGTGCTCTGTGTTGACCCGAGTGTTTCTCTTTTCTGGTTGCACTCTGCTCCTTCTCCTCTGGTACTTAACTACTCTACCCTTTTCCCCCAGAAAAATAAAAGAACTAACAACAACCCAAAGTTTCTGCTGCTGTAACAATCGTGCCTTTTGAATTGCAGTATTTTATTTGTTTAGCAACAGAGAAGGAGTTAGTTGAGAAATTAATGGATTTCTGTTTATTTGTATCTTTGTGTATACATGCAAGGAGACAGAACAAGACTATTTACTGGAAGTGCCCAGAACCATCCAGAAGCAAGGTCTGGTAGTTACTGGGAAGATCAGTGTTTTTTCATGAGCAGGAGAGTAAGTTTCCATGATGGGTGGAGTCATAAATATTCATAATTTTAAGAACTGAACCAGTCAGAGCTCAGGTAGGGAGAAGGTATAAAATAGGACAATGAGACAACACAGGTGGGCTCAGTGGATGATCCTGGTGAGGTACATGATGTCTCCAGGAGTCAGTAGCTGGGTCTGAATGCCTGTGATGACTTTGCCAGTCTCTTGCACCCAGTAGTATAGCCCCTGGTTCCCACCATGGGATCAAGCCCTTAATACAATACATGACCTATTGAGTCATAGTTAGATGTTTTCCCTGTGTTTTTTTTATATAGAAAAGCAGCCTTTGACTCAAAGCTTTTGATGGAGGCTCTTGGATTCATCATATTTATTTTTTATTTTAATGTTTTAAGAGACTGTAATAAGTCTGATATTTTGTATTAAATTCAGATTTCACTTTACACAGATTTATTTGGAAAAAGATTATATTTTGACCCTGGTTCTCCCAGTTCCTTGGCTACTGCCCTAATCATTGGACAATCCTTCTAATCAACTCTAGGCAGGTATTCATCGTGCTAGCTGGGAATTGAGGGCCCAGAGGATATGCACACAATAGCATTTGAGGCAATACACTCTGTGGTGTTCTTCTGCCTGCAGAGCTGGGAGGAAGGCGGGCTGGCCAAACTGATTACATGGACATGACTGTGGTGTCCTGTTTCTGAAACAAATATGTTAAACCAGTTACAGGAAGACAGTTGTGTGCCATACGAGGCAGCTGGTAGGTGTGATGCACTGTTAGCTGATCATAGTTACTAACTGAATATTAAACATGTATGTAGACCCAAACTGTATTTTAGATGCAATTCTGACAATAGCTTTTTGATATATCTCTGTTGAAAGTTACAGGGTGCCTTGTCAGCACCAGTTCATTTTCATTGATTCCTTCTCTTGCAAGATCAATTTATCTCCTGATGCGATAGAACCTGCTTTATTTTTATTTTAGTATCCATCACTTTTTAAATTTTTAAATAGACTCTTATTCATCCTTGAAGATCATCTTTTGGAAATACCCCTTTGCCTTCTGCTGGTTTGAGTTCCTACTGTCTGAGATTTTTGGCTTTTCCACTTCCCACACACAATGTGCTGGGAGGCAACAAAGTAGCAGCTGTAACTAAAAACATATCTGTTTTAATGCAATGTGTAAATAAAATATGTATGTGAGAGGGGGGAAAAAAGATACTATTTGCATTTCATTGGATACAAATAGCTGTAATGTCAGCTGTGGTGGAGCTTAAGAATCTCTGACACCAGTTTTTCCATGAAATTGGAGGCAGGGGCCATAGCCACTATTCTTAATTAAAATAATCAGGACAAGAATTTTGATTAAAAAAAAAAAAAAAGTACAAGTGAATCTTTATGGTTTCCAAGTCTCATAAGCTGACAAAGTGGACAAATTTAAGAAAGAAAAGCTTTGCAGGTCACTTATGAAGTTGAGCTAATATTTCTTTGGGGGAGGGAACTACATGACAATCTTTTTGTTTTCTCCTATTTAGGGTACTACTAGGATTTACAAAAATACTTCCATTTAACTTTTTTTTTTTTTTTTTTTGGTTGTAGGGGGTTTATAGGGAGCAGTGCTCACAGCCAGTGTTTAAATGCTAAGAGTATAACAAGGTCTCTGTCTTACACATATCAGAGCCAAAATTATGCCTTTCTGATACAGGTTTTTAAAATTAAGTCTAAGTAATTAAGAAATTAAAACTTTTGTGTATGCGTGTATGGTAGTGTTACAGTTACAATTAAACCTGGCTTAAGTGACTGCCTAAGGGACCAGCCACAGTCAGTTGCCTATTAAAAGTGGTCTTTAAAGGTCAAACAGTTGTTCTGGAAACAGTAATATATATTTTGTTACCACAAAATGTTTGTATCCACCCTGCTTTAGTATACTTAATAAACTTAAACTAAAATTACAGAAAAAAACATAAAACAACTCCACTGTATGTCTTTTGCCCAAATTAATTTGAGCAAAAGTGAATCATGGGCTTCTAGAAAAATTTGGAGACTTTTGGACAAGGTATCGTTCATAATCTTTTCTAATATTTCTATACTTTATTACTGTAGAGAAGTTCAGTGCACTGGAATATTCAGTAACTTTGGGCATGGATGACTGAGGATAGCAGGCTTTTATAAAGTACTGGGGTAACCTGAACAGGTTGTTTTTTTTTTTTTTTAAATAAAATATGGTTACTAAAATATCTGGCTCTACTTCAGGATACTTGTTGGGATTGTCTACTGGCTGTCTGTATAGATTTCATTCTCACAGAACAGATTGAAAATTAACAAATTTTCTTATTTTCCTCAGGTTTAGCAGACAGGTTTGAAGAATATCCCAAACTTAGAGAGCTCATCAGACTAAAGGACGAACTAATATCTAAATCTAACACTCCCCCCATGTAAGTGTTTTTGTTAGAAACTGGTTTCTGCTCTCCAGACTCTCTTAATGTTGGCTGTCTGCGCCACAAATCTTTTTATCTTTCAGCACCTGTTTAAGATTTACACTTTCTATTTCTGGTTTGTGAATCTAAATTAAATCATAGAATCCTCAATAGAATGCAACCATTTTATTTTGGATCATTTAATTTAGCGTTTAATTGATGTCTGTATATAAATTAGATTTTCTTACCAGAGCATGATGGGTCATGAAGCCTGTAAAATATCTTTTGTAGACTGTGCTTTCAGCCTCATTCAGATGTAAACATACATCTGGCAGCCAAAAAGGAGAAATATATATGAAAAAGCTTGACCTAGAACAATGTAATTTCAAACCACAAGAAAACCTTGTTTTAAGAAAATTTGACATTTTATTTAATGTTCAGTGGCCTAAATATTTTGAAAATGCTGTTCTCACAATAAGTATCTTTTCCACACGTGCATAGTAGCTACCACATTGGTATCTAGCTCTACTTTACAATAAGAGAAGCAAGAGACTGGCTTGAGGTGGCTTGCCTTGTTAAATTTCTTTGTTTTTCTCCCTGTTCCTACAGAATTTCAGCTGTATTTTAAAATATGCTATTTTTCTACCCATAGGCTTGAACCTCATGCATGTGGACCAATACATTATAGTACTGGCTTTAGTCTGTATCCAGAAAGAGTAATTTTCTGTACTCCTTATTTATCCAATTAGCTTGATTGAAATCAGTTGGTTTCAAAATAAGAACCGAGAAGTATGAAGTACCACTTTCCTCTCAGTGGGTGTTAACCCTGAGTGAGGATGGTACACATGTTAACCTTAATTGTTGGCTAATAAAGAATAAAATAATCATGGTGTTCTAAGATTATGGTAGCATTTTGCTTGCCATCACTCTTTATCTCGCTAATAAAAAAATGGGTAAAATCCAACTGCCATTCCCTAAATAGATCAACCAAAACTTCCTAGATCTGGCCAGGAGGAATATTCTTCCATAAATCAAACCTAGCAAGTCTCTCAATATTGTAGAATTATTTTTTTCACAGAGATAGAACAGTAATTAGCAACTGGTGAGGAGGATAGGCTATACATGAGCAGGAAATGGGACAAGTATTAAATCTGCACATTTGAGTCCCAGAAATAGCTTGCTAAAAGCAAAGTTTCTAATAGTGTTTTAAAACACATTCTACATATTGGGAATGCAAATTGCCCTCCATATATATAGGATTCATATAGTGCAGATAGAAACTATATATTTTAACATTGCCATTTGTCACTTTGATTTTGGGGGGGGGGGGGGGGGAATAGTATATATAATCATAGCTGAACAGCAACTGGTTTTTCTTTCTTAAATGGAGATATTTGTCAAAAACGTTCCATGTAAATGATTGTACCTTGATGCTGTGCCAGATCATGTGTGGACGGTTGTCTAGCCCTTTTCCTTACTCGCTATCTCTGAATTCTTATTGCTGTGTCTTAAAAGGACTCCTCTTTGAAAGTATCATTAGTTTAGTTATATTGGACTTTCATAGTGTAATGGTGTAGACCACTTTTTGGGATCTTCTACTTTCCTGTTCGTTATTCCACAACATCTGTGTAGTCACTACAGCACTTACTTATGTTCAAGGTAACTTTAATATACTTTTACATGTATTTAATGCATTGTAGCCCCTAGAAACCAAGAGGAGACAAATCTTTCCACTGATCCCCAGCAAGAGCTCTGTGGGAATTTGGGAACTGCAGTTCTACTTTGTCCAAGCAATTTGTCATAGTTTATTATCTCTTTAAATAGGTATTTACAAGCGGACTTGGAAGCCTTTGACATTAGAGAACTAAAGTCCAAATTTGATGTGATTCTTTTGGAGCCTCCATTGGAAGAATACTACAGAGAGACTGGCATCACGGCCAATGAAAAATGCTGGACTTGGGATGATGTAAGCTGTTTTTCTTACTGTTCAAAAAGTCTTTGTAAATACCTTATAAAATAGATTGAAGTGTAGATTTCGGTGTACAGCATTTTTACATAGGATTTGTGTGAGAAAAATGAGTTCTTGCAAAAACTAAGGGGGTGTGTGTGTGTGTATTTGTATTTACACACTTAAATTGTTAAAGGTGACTCTCAAAGGATTTCTTCAAAACTAGGCTTATGCCCTTTTTTGGCCCATCATAAAGAAGGCCTGAAAGGATTTTTAAAACAATCCCCACATCCAAAAAACCCTTCATTTTTGCTGCTTGTTTTTAATCTTAGAAATCTTAGGAATAGCCAGTCTTGTCTTTCTTGGCTTTGCTGGATAACTTCTTGAGGAGGTCTCAGATGTGTATGAGGATCACTTGCTCCTTAATTGAACAGGTGCAATAATTGAATCTTTAACAGACATCCTTTCTCCCAAGTGTTCATTATGTATTGGAGTTAAACAGGTATTAACAGAAGACAACCAAAGCCCACTATAATTCTGAAAAGTTTGATTAAAAATTCTTCCCCTTAATTGTTGTTTCTCTTATGTCATTTTTACTAAATGTCAATTCTCCATAGACTTTTCCAAGATAGACAAGAACAGAGTTTCTAATGTAAAAAACAAAGAAGGAAGCTCCTTGATAAAACTTTCCAGACTTTATATATCATAAAGAAGCAAAAAATTATATAAATCCAGTTTTTTCCCCTTTTCAGGTCATGTTTACTGTAGTATTTATTTTATTTAAATGTATGTACTCTGCCTATGTTAGCACTAGGAAAATTAGACATAAAATACACTTTTAAAATGACCTCCACTCCAACATAATGAAGAAGAAAATCACTTTGTTCTAATCTCAATTAGCTCTGAACTATATAATTTTCCCTCAGTTATCCCATATGTTAACCTCCCGAGGAAAACAGATGGGGTCTTGGGACTTAGTTCTGTTACCCCAGTGTGTTGTCATTTAATTTTACACACCCATGGCCATCTCAAGTTCTTTGTCATGACTTAAGACCACAGCTATGGCTTCCATTCAGACAAAGAGCCACAGACCAATCGACATGTGGAGATGTTCAATGGGCACACATGAAAGGCAAAAATAACGGAGAAGCAACTGGTAATGGAGAAGCAAACTTGCATCCAACTGTAATGAATGAGTTTGAAACAGTCATACCATACCCATGATAATAGACTTCAATATTAGGATTCATCAAGAAAAACATTGAAGCAGTTGAGAAACATAACACATCAAATAATCTAGAAGAAAAAACAAAGTGTACAAGGAGAGCAACTTGTTATAAGTTTCACTATTTTATCTTGCAGTAGTTCCTGTTGCATTTTTTTTTTTGCCATTGCAGTAAATGCGACTTGGTTTGATGTATTAGCAAGTTACAGATAATCCCTTCAACCTGCATGCATCCGTTAGTCATTTAACCTGAAGTTGTTTTCACTCTAAATGTTACTCTTGTTTTTGAGCCTCGATCTTGATATTTTTTTCTATTTAAACCTGGAAATGAAAGGAATGCCTCTCATATAAATGACTATGTATTTGCTTCACTTATCTAAAACTGGTCACAAGACTTAGCTGAGTATTTCTGGGTTTAAACTGCTAATGAGATGAGACTAAGATAATCTCATGTTTTCAAGAAAACTGTATATTGGCTATAGATACTTTTTGGACTTTAAATCCATAATATTCTCTTCTGTGTAGATTTGATTTATTTAAAGTTGCATACTTATCACTATGGCCAACAAGTATTAATGTTTCCAAAAGTGGCTGAAGCAGTGGTAGTGCATTCATTTTAATTGAGTAGTGCTGACCATTCTCCTACTTCCATTCTAAAACAGTGGTTCCAAAACTTTTCACGGTCACACTGCCCCACTCCCCATGGGGCTGTGGCTCTAGGTGAAGAGAGGGGAGGGCATGGCCAGGAGTAAGGCGGCCAAGGCGGGGTTGGGTCTGGGGCCAGGAATGGAGCTGAGGCCGGGCGCTGAGGCTGGGGGCAGAACTGGGGTTGGGTGCAGGAGTGAAGCTGGGGCATGGCAGAGATGGGTTTGGAGTGGGGCTGGGTGCCCCCATGGGGGCTGGCCTGGGCTTTGCTGCACACGCCCCCCTTCCCTGTCCCCTCCCCCCCCAAATGTTTTTGTGGCCTCCCTTGGGGGGGTGCGCCCCACACTTTGGGGACCACTGTTCTAAAGTGTTCTGATTGCTATATATGGCCCAGGTCAGCGTGAAGAGTAACAGAACATGTGGGAATGGATGGCACTGATTGGGTACTAGTAAAATAATTTAAAATCTATTCTCCAGCAAATGTATTGAAAGGGCACCAGTGAAGAGAATGAGGGTCTAGATTAACACTAGTAATATGTATTCTTAAGGTTGCGGTGGCAATGTTAGGCATGTAAATATTGTTCCTGATATAATCTGTGACCATACTACATATATTAAACAAAATCTTAATTCAGAAAGCATTTAACATTTTGTTCCTTTCTGTTTTTGTAGATTATGAAACTGGAAATTGAAGAGATTGCATCCCTAAGGTCTTTTGTCTTTCTGTGGTGTGGCTCAGGGGAGGGTCTGGATCTTGGCAGAGTGGTAAGAACATATTTTAAACTAAACCTAGGCTGAGACAAAATAAATATTTACTCAAGAACGCTATGATGATCTCTTCTCTGTGCATAGACTCCTCCGTTTTAAATGTTGACAGGCTTTTTGTTACTGTGAGAGATGCAGAGGGGAAATTAATCCCGCATTAATCCTTTAGACACTTATTTTCCTTATGGGTAGCTGTAGATATCTGAGGATGAATACATCTGTGGTCTCCAAAGAGCTACTTTACTGTTTTATCTCTCGTTTGTTCGTGGCTGCTGTGGGAGTAGGATGCCTTATTCTAGGTGATTACATCACTGTCTGCACAGAAATCCAAACAAATCCTAGCAGAATGTGTGCTTTTCAGTGAACGTTGTCAGGCTGGCACCAGTGTTGTCATATCATAATTTCGAGAAACTCTTACGTGTTAGACTTCTTATTTTTTTTAAACAGGTTGAGTTTAGGCTCTTAATGATGTTTTTAGTGAGCTGTATAAAGTTAGAGCATGACTATTTTATTGTTATGCAGTAATTTTTATATCTATATATAGATCTGTATATATCATATCTATATATATAGATATCTATATATATGTAGTTACCCTAAATTCAGGTGTACTCTTATTTATTGTGTCAGATTTTTTATCCTGTTCCCTGTAGAAATGTTTTTGAGCTTTAAAATCTCTTTCATCTCTCTTACAGTGTAGCTTATTTAGCTGAACAGAGTAGCTGTGTTTGTTTGTTGTACTGAAGGGGGGAGAGGTTCAGGCCAATGAAATGTTCTGTATTCAAATGAAGGGCAGTATATAGCCATTAATTTCTTTCTATATAGTACATTTTACTTAAGTTCTTTTGATACAGGCTCACTGAATAACTTTTGCTGCAAACTTGATTCTGGTCACATTGAAGCAAAACTATGTAAGTTGAGTAGTTTTCAAACGTGATAAATAGCGAGCACAGTTTCAGAGTAGAGGGTTTTTTTCAGTCTGTGCTAGCAGACACTGGGCATTAGTCTCCACCAATTCCTGCCTCCAAAGGAGGTTTGTAACAGTTTTTAAAGAGAGCTATTATAGCACTTGTACACGTTGTGTCCTTGTTCACATTTGTTTTTGTGCAGTCTCCCACTGTTGAACTACCAATGCAGCTGTACCAGTGGTAGCAACAGTGGGAGCATTACTTTTAGATGGAACTAAAACAGCTGCCCGCATTTTCACCACTGCGTTGTTTAGACCTGCTCTGAGCAAAGTCATTGTCACAGAGATAAAAACGCCAGTATCCAGCTACGCAAGTGCTCCATAGGAGCTGCACCAAACAGAGTGAGATGGTGTGACACTTCCAGAAAAGGGTGATGTAGACACATGAGAGAGTATGAATGCAAACAATGTTTGGAAACTTGATTTCAGAACATGGTTAAAATTAAAGTGTGGAGATAAGTGTTTCATATGTTGATGATTGACCCCTCCTTCAAACAAGCACAGAAGACAAACCTATGACCTCTTACTAAGTCAATCTTAATTCTTAAATACATTGTTCCAGTATTTGATATAATACAAGCATCTTTTATCTTTGTGACTATTCTTGTTTAAATATTTTAGTGTCTACGCAAGTGGGGTTACAGACGATGTGAAGATATTTGTTGGATTAAAACCAATAAAAACAATCCTGGAAAGACCAAGACTCTGGACCCTAAAGCTGTTTTCCAAAGAACAAAGGTACAGCTCTGCCTGAATTTTTCTCCTCCCTCCTCAGTTGATCTAAAAAAACATCAGGTGCTCTATGGCAATTGGTGGTCTCTGTAGTTTCAGAAAAATAGGTGCTAGGATTTTAGATTTTTTACTTTCTTGCATAGATTGTTTTTCACAGAATGGGTAATTAATTTTTCATCAATTCTAGATTCTTTACTCAATTTGATTAAATATACAGTCATCATCCACATCTAATGTTGCTTTAGGAAGTTCTTTTGATTTTCTGAATGTTCTTATTCATTCAAGTCTCGTTGAAATGTTGATAGACAGGAAAGGGAATCGTAGAAATGCTTTCCCATTTATCAACCTGCAGGAAGATGAAAGCTGTGTACAATTTTGTATTGTTTTCATTGTGCCTACCTGTTGGTAGAGTTGATTGTTTTTGACTTTTAGGTTGTCAGATTTTAAAAACCACTATTGAAATGTAAATGATACACGTTACATGAGCAAATGCTGGCTTCACAAATGTTTCCCCTCATTACTTGCTCAAATGACAGATGGAAATTGGGCTGGGATTTAGATTAGTCCTGTATAGAAACTGATTGATTTATTTAATTCTGGAGCACACCAGTTGCTTAGAAACAAACCTCCTTCCAAATCAGAATGGCAACAGGTTTTTTGGGAATAGCAGCTTTTGATTAAATTACTTAGTTTGACTACAGAACTTGAGTATTTATTTATTTAAAGATGTTTATTTAAACATTTAAAGCTTGAAATTATAAATTGACATGGGCACTGTAAAGGCACATTATTAATCTAACTTTGACAGTAAAAATGCTGTTGAAAAACAAACACAGGCATCCTCTTCTACTTTTTTAAAGAACATGACCTTAAGGACTACAGCTGTATAACAGCCATCTCCCAGTGTCCTACAAGGAAGAGGCTTTTCACTGCATATGGATGCACGATGAACTTTGGTTCAAATTAAATATTTACTTGATGATGTAGACTAAATTAGATGCGTATTTGAATGAGTAGTGTAGTAAGAGTAGGTTGTAGGTTAGAAAGCTTAACAACGTATTATGTGAGAGTCATAGTGGTAATCATAAATAGGCCACAGTCGTTAGGAACTGTTTTAGGATATTTCATTTAACATAGTAATCGGAACACATTTGTATTAGTGAATACAGGGAGCTGTCTCTCAATGCCTGGCTTATAACAATTTAAAATTTCACTAACCTGATCACCAATTGATATGCTTAGATCATTAAGCAGAATCTCAGTGGTTGTTACTATTTTAGTTGTGATCCAACTGTTACTTCTTTGACTTAAATGGGATTTGGACCAGTCCTTTATATGCTTTTCTAACGTAAATATGGGTAGGTGTGGATGTACATTTATTGTGTATGGTGGTTAAAGGCCAGATGTTTTACAACTTTTTCACGAATAAAAATAAGGTTTTATGTACATTGGAGATAGATAAGGTTCATGTTTTGTCAAAGGAGTTAGGTTGTTGATGCTGGTAACTGAGAATTTGCCTGTGTACTGTTGTGTATACATGAATTTGGTATCAAGGTTGGTGTCAGAATTGGTTATATAACAAGAATATGTGGGGAAATTAGAGCCAATTTTATTCTGATCTGTCAGATGGCCAAGTTCATATTCTCTGTCAAATGTGAAGAAGGGAATATTCACTGATAGTATTTCTATACAGTATCAAGTGTCAAAACTTAAGACAAGAAGTTGATACAACCGCCATTGAGAAATATTACTTAAATGTAATGTATACCTGAGGCATTTATAAACCGTATTCCCTATGTTAGAAAGATTGTTTTTCACTGATATGCTGGTAACCACCAGGTTTATCAAACTTGGCATGATGGGTGATTTGCCTAGGGATTTTCTGTGCTCCATCCTATTCTACTTGAATATTTGTCTGAGAAATGGTAAAAACCTAAAATGTAAGTGCTGTCACTAAGCTCAGTATGTTGGATAGATCACTTTTTTCTTTGCTTCTTTGCAGTCGCTCTCTAACCTCTAGCCCTTCTGCCAAAAATCTGGAAATGATTATACACTGTCTGCGATTTTTGAGAACCATCTGGTGATGCTTAGTAAATCATTGTTTTATGATCTGTGGAAAATTTCTCATTGGAATGTAGTACTCACAGAAACAGAACTCTGACATTAATATGCACAGCCCTCATTTCCTCTCATATCCAGTAAGGAGGTTCCCCATTTGTAGATCCTCTGTTGGTCACTTCCTACTATGTTATAGAAGGAAAAGAAACACAGTGCTTGTTTCATTTAATTCAAGCATTATACTGTTCTTTGATTCAAACTGCACTAATCACTTTACACTGGTTTTATTTTTTTGTATACTATGGTGGCTATAGGAAGGAATTGGTGGATGGAGACCAGCTTTGTAAAAGGCATACTATGAAAAGAAATCTGTAAAGGACTGGCTGTTACTCTCATTTCTATTGTTTGATCCTTTCATGGCCATAAAGGAGAAAAATTATGGAATCTTCTTTTCACAGGTTACCTTAACATCATGATTTAATATAATGTTTGTGCCAATGCATAATAAAATGAAGGAGAAACAGCACTGAGCTGTCTGACTCTGTACTGTTTGTAGCACCAGCTTGCACTGTACTGGATTCAGGAAATCTGTTTAAGGACTCTTTTCCACCGTAGACCTCTTCATGATTATGCCCTTTTAGTAGTAATCTGAAACAGTTTTAGAGTCCATAATAAATTCCTATTTCAGACCATGAATAATTTGATTTGCAGCACTGTGTGACTTTGAGAAAAGGGACCACAATCAGAAACTCTTTAAATTAGGATCTCTTTTCTCATTGTTTTAGAAGGGTTTTTGGTACCTTTTCTGTTTGTTCCATTCTTTTGGATAAGACCTTAAAAACAGTTCATATTGGGTCAGTCCCATCTGATTATCATAAAGATAGGAGTTTGCCTTGTGGCTTTGCTAGAACATTTTCTACACTTTATTGTGCTGTGCACTATTCAGTTCAGAGATGATTGCATTGTACATTTATGGTTTGTAATGGGCTTTAGAATCTTTCAGGATGAGACACCCTCCATAATTTTTTTTTTTCTGTCTAGGAACACTGCCTTATGGGTATTAAAGGAACAGTCCGCCGTAGTACAGATGGTGACTTCATCCATGCTAATGTTGATATTGACTTAATTATCACTGAAGAGCCTGAGATTGGCAACATAGAAAAACCTGTAGAGATTTTTCACATCATTGAACACTTCTGCCTTGGAAGAAGACGCCTTCATCTTTTTGGAAGGGATAGTACAATCCGACCAGGTAGATGTTCTATTTATTTTATGAAATAAGTGAAAGTTCACTTAATCTGATTGTCCCTTCCCTTGATAACTTCCATATAAGATGAAATTTCATGAGGTCAGAAAGAAAACATTGATACAAAATAGAATTTAGTCTAATGTACATTTATATTGCCGAGGTTTGTACTAGTCACAGACATCATGTTAACCTTAAAGAGTCCAATAAAAGGGATTTCAGTAATCCTTATCTGACTGAAAGAAGCCATGTGGCCAACAGTAAATTTTGTGGTGGTGATTCCAACATGGAGCTCATCCAGCGGGAGGACATAGGATCTATTGGGCAGAAGACTTCCACCTTGCAAACAAGATTTCCACTCTGGTGATTGTGGAGAGTGCAGGCTGTGGGGAGGTGGCGGGGAAAGTGGGGAATCATTCCACCACTTGCCATATTTGGGGAACTCTGCCAGCAGTGAAGAAGCATAGGAATTGTACCCTAGTATTAGTCGTGGGCTACTGTTCCCCCCTCCTTCCCCCCCCACTACTGATCAGAATAGAAGAGGCACTTGCAAGTGCAGATTAGGGTGTATATCTATAGATGGAACAGTATACACACAAAGAAAGGGATGTACCTTCCCCTCCTTGCTGGAGTGGTGTATGGAGGTTATTCTGTTTCTAGGGTTATAACTTCTGCTGCTGCTTATGTGGCTACCGGTGAGGGGTACAGCGACAGACCAAGAATCCAGCTTAGCACTGCTTACTAGTAAGTTGTCTTTTAAAAATGTACAGATATTTGTGTCTACTTTTAAAAATGAACAAAATGCCATAACTCCAGGTTTACAAGCTTTTTTGTACAAACTTATTAGTATAATGTGTCTGTGCTTAAACTGTTCCAAAACACTTTATACCTTTTTGATATGTCGTTCCTCTGTTGTCAGACTTCATTTTAAAAAAGAAATAGAAGACCAAACTCCATAGCAGCTTTGGAATGTGAATGTCTTTATCATGTGCAAGGTAGAAAATAACACTCACTGCTGGTTGTAAATTCTCATCTGTGTGAATATCCTAAAGAGCTTTTTAGACAGATGTGTCCCAGGCCAGGTGATAGATTTCAAGTAAATTAAGAAAATATTTCCTCCCACATCACCAACCAAGCAATCACTAAAAAGCAGCTGAATCTGGAAAGTCTGTGGCAGCTGTTGCTTTTAGAGGGAGAGGGATGCCTTTCTTTTAACATACATCAACGTCCTCGCCAGCTATAAGTATTCTTCCTCATTATTGCTGAGCTAATGTCAGATAAAATACTTCGATTGCTATGATGGCCTTTTACACCTTGTCAGAATCATGACCTGTGTGTGGCTTCTTTCCTGAAAACTCTTTTACCTTGGTTAGCCATGTGAGCTTGAATGGCATTGCCAGCAATTTGACACGTCCCTGTATTGGCTCCAAGTCTAAAACTACAACAGCCACTGCATGCCTAGTCTAGAAGTTACCAGTGCATGCATCAGACCTTTGGAGGTTACTTTCAGTCTAAAATGTTGCACATTTCCTCTGTCGTGGGCCCTTCCCTTCATTGCTTTCCTGAATGAAATGCAGTTTCACTAGGAAAAACGTGTTGACTTAGAATAGAATTCGTTCTCATGCCCACTTGTTACCAAGTTTTGCAACACTAGTAGATGCTATTTTAACCTTATAAAAAGTGGATTTTGGCAGTCTAACTGGATTTGGTTTTAAAAAAGCATTGTAGTTGCCAGAGGAATGGTTACCATTCGTAAGATAGTTAAAATCAGCTGACTCCGGCTGTTACTCTCACTGAATGTTATCCCCTGGTTAATGACTGTGCTAAGATTGTGTATCCCATTAGTCTGAGCTTTGGATATTAAACAACTTGTTCAGCATAGTAACACATTTATTAAAAAGAAAATGCATATTTGCGAGGGAACTTCCAAAGCTGCGGTCTCAATTTCTATGGACTCTTTAAGTAGCTTTCTTATTAAAACAATGTGTTGTAGTAAATGGGAGTAACTAGTTTTCACTAAACTAGGGAAGTGCATTACACTATGCAGACATGTTATGCCTTGCGATTTGTAAGAGCTAAGGCTTGCTTTTATTATAAAAACAAAATTAGTCCATCTGGGATGGGAAGGAGAATGGTACAACAACTGCAAACAGTACACTCCCAAACGTGTAGCCTGGCTTCTTCAGTAGCAAGTTACATCTATTACTAACCAGCTTCTGTTATATCTAGTCAGCCTTCCACTGTTAATGGTGTTCTCGGTCTTAATTTAGTTTTACATGTCTTTGAGGGAGAGAGAACATTGCATCCTTGAGGCTTCTTTTGACTGTACTGCAGAGATTCACATAACTTCGTTAATCTCATGTTCTAGTCACCTACTGGGCTGCTTCTGTATTTTAAGCTAGTGACGGGCCCTCATGTTCTTTGGAACTGTATTGTATGCTTATTTACAATATATTTAGCTCAGTAGAACTCTCTTTTTTGTTAGTTCAGGCAATGGCAAAAATTGGCAGAGCACACTTTTGCTCGCCAGTGATGATTAGCACTTAAGTAGCGTTTTTCATCTTCAGACTGCTTTGCAAACAACTTCTAACAAATCCTCACAACACTGATGGATGTAAACCTAACCCAGTATTTTTATTCCCTATTTTAAAATTGGGACCTGGGGGGAGTGATGCAAAGTTTTAGTTGACCCTGGCAAAGGTCAGGAAGTTAGTATTAGAGCCTGGATTTTAATTTGTTCCTTGTTGCTAGCACTCAGTCCACTAAACCCTGTCTTTCTCATTAGTAAGTGATATATAACTGGAAGTTCAGTTTCCAGGAATTCTCTTCAGTGGGTGAAGTACTGGACCACTTATATAGCTCATAGTGTCATGAGGTACAGTACAGACTTAAACCTGAATATCTTTCTGGTAACTTCATTTTCCCTGAGTGGTATTTTGATTCTTAAGTAAATTAGTCAATTTAAGGACTATGCATTCACATACATGCCTGCTCAACCAAGTTGTTTGTAGTGTTGCTGTAGCTGTGTTTGTCCCAGGGTAGGAGAGAGACAACTTGTGTGAGGTCATATCTTTTTTTGGATCAGTTTCTGTTGATGAAAGAGAAGAGCTCTGTGGATCTTGAAAGCTTGTCTCTCTCACCAGTAGAACATGGTCTAATAAAAGATATTCCCTCACCTGCCTTGTCACTCAACCCAGTGTAAATTTCAAACTGAAATATTCACATTTCCATAAGTTGGGAACTTTTCCGTGCAGACTTCTTTTTTTAGAAGGGTTCACTGTTGGCTTCTTATAGACCTAACAAAACTGTTTTTCAGAAAACATTGCTATCAACTCAGAGCTTTATCCAACATCCACATGAAGATGTTAAGAAAAAACGAGTCTGTCCTTAAAGCATAAAATTCAGTTTGCTGCTCTTGCTAACTTTTTATCTTCTGTTTTTCTTTAGGCTGGCTGACTGTGGGACCCACCCTCACAAACAGCAACTTTAATGCAGAAACCTATGCCTCCTACTTCACGGCTCCAAATTCAGATCTGACTGGTTGTACAGAAGAGATTGAGCGACTTCGACCTAAATCACCACCTCCAAAATCCAAGTCGGACCGAGGAGGTGGAGCTCCTAGGGGAGGAGGAAGAGGCGGGACTTCAGCTGGCCGGGGAGAGAGAGGCAGAGAGAGGAATAGAACTAATTTCCGGGGTGAAAGGGGTGGATTCAGAGGGGGCCGCGGAGGTACCCACAGAGGAGGCTTCCCCCACGCTGATTACATTTGCGTCATTAGTTCTCCCTCTGGTCCTATGCCTCTTCTTCTTCATATCTTTTTAGTCCTGTTTCCACCAAGATGAGTCATTCCAGGGACTCAATCCAGATGACTTTTTTTAATTGAGTGTGCTTTCTGCAAGCAGTTCCAGATACTTTGCCTGCCCACATCTGGCACATCACCTTACTTGGCAGTTGGGATCCAGCACCTGATGGCAATGAGCTGAGAAGCCTCCTGGCAGCTTTCATTCACCAGGAAGGAGGTCAGAGCAGCCTGGGAACATCAGAAGGGGTTATCTCCCCAAGCTGTGAATAGGATTTGAAGAGGAGTCATTTGCTCTGATCTTTTCCAACTTAAAAAAAAATAAAAAATCTTTCAGCTTTTTTCTTTAATGCTTCCCTTTAAACGCTGAACAGATCCCCCCCTTACCTTTTGTGTAGGTATCAGTTTCTTTCCATTATCAATATGATGGGTCAGGACTCAGAGATGCAATTTGAATTTGCATGATGATGATACAGACTTGCATTGTATTTATGGAAGGAAAAATGGTGTGTCTGTAATAGCATTTATTTCTTCCTCCCCTATATTCATAACTAAACAGAGGAGTAATATTGAATAAATAGAGCTCTATTTTTTTCTATTTGTTTTAAATTTCCCCAGTCATTCCTGGGAGTAGTTTTGTAGTATTTTTATTTTTCACTTATATTTAAAACATTTTTATCTTTGATATTTGGACTGAAAAACCAGAAACAATTCTATGTTGTCACTTGTTATGCTTCATGGAAAGCAAAAAGTGGCAGTCATCCATATTTGTTCTAGGACTTTTGTTTACGTAGACATGCATTGATTTAACGTAGAGAATCTTGCCCTTTGCCTGTTTACTGTCTTATTTGTGACTAGGGAAAGCCAAGTTTTTATTACAAAATAAATGCAGTATGAATAATGAAACCGCCCCAGTGGAGGTAGTATTTGGGGAAAGGGGAGAAAGCCATAAAGAGGGAAAGTGCTTCCAGAGAAATCTGGATAAACTCCACCTGCAAACACAATGCTCAGAGATTGAAAAATTGTGTTCAAGCTTTGCTTTGTCAGTGGATCTTTAAATAGTAAGTGATGTGTGGATGAGAATGTCTTATAGAAAATCAGCTTCAGACTACAACTTTGAAAGAGAAAGTGATTCACCTTTATTGTAACTGTGTGGTATTTGTTTTTAGATAAGCCAGCTCTGTAAATCAGTTGTACAGTACTTGATGCCTATGAACAAATCCTGGCCCCACTGAAGTCTAAGGGATTTTGCTGTGGATTTCATCGGGACTAGAATTTGTCCCTGGGACTCTTGTACTTCTTATCTACTGAACTTTTAAATGAATGTCCTGTAAAGTGGTGAATAATGAAATTTATTTCAGTATTGTTTTTGATAAACATCTTCCCTAATATTTTCTAGAATTTTTTGGTTTTATTTAAATGTAGGTTTTATTCATTCTTCAATTTGCCTTTAAAGTTTTTATTTTGTTGGTTTTCTGCTTAGGCAATTCAGCTTTTCTTTATAAAGGAACAGAGGTTCCTATTGTGTTAATGGATGAAATCTCCCATCATTTTTTTGCTTAATGGTTTTTTTTTAACACACACAACCTCCTCCCCCCCCTCCCCCCCCGTGCTTTATAATTTGGACAGTTTACTGGACTCTGATTTTAGTAACTGTAAATGGCAATTGGTGATGGGTGAATAAATCTCTCCACTATATACATTGTACTTCTACCTGTGTCACATCTGCAAAGCTGAGGAGTGACTCGAAGTAGAAGTTGGTTGAGTTGGGGTCCTTGAATCCTTGATTTTCTAGAATATCAGTAGCTCATTTGAACATCAGTGATGCTTGCAGCGGATTGCATCTGGAACAAGCCAGAATGCTTAATAGTTGTGGGCCACAACCTTTGACTATTGTACATGCTCAACATTAGAGATGGCACCCTCATGCCACTGAAAACAACTTCTGTAAGGTGAGGAGGAAAGTGATATTAACCCAGTGCTTTCTTCCTCTGATTCTTCTTCCTCATACATGCCTTCTCTACAGTTGAAGAACAAGTATTCTGGCATAAAATATGAAAGGAGCAATGAATCCTCGATACTGCACTCTAACCTAAAAATAACTCTTAAAGGAGAACTGAGATGTCTTGCTTTAGGTCAGAATGGCAGAGTTGGGAAAACTGTTTAAGATGGGAAAGCAATAAATGTCTGCTAATCGCTCCTAAGGCTTCAACTGCCTTTGGATGCACACTGCTCCCATTGATGCCAGTGAAAGTCCCATATACACATTGACAAACAAACTTGCTCCTTGTCAACTGATGATGTTGACTCTCAGGAAAATATGGATTCTTGAATGTCATCCTGGCAGTTTTCTGTGCTTCAGAGGTATACTAGGGCTGTGTGCCCTGTTGTGTCAGCACTGATGCAGAGAGACTGCGTCTCCATGTGACAAGATAGTACATTATCCATATTTGATCTATCCTTGACTGACAACATTAGTGCTTTGTGGTGATGACCTCTGTTCATGAGAAAGTGAAGCTATAACCTTTTCAGATAGACTGTAAAAATGCCACCATTTGGTAACTTCTGATCACTATTGACCTGGGCCACACTTGCACTTGTATTCTGAAAGGAAAGGCTTTGTATCCCGTTACTAATGGCCATCCTGTCTCTTGATAGGAGCATTTTCACAGGAGAGGGGTGATGATTACACTTAGCCAATTATGGACATCAGGTGAGTCTTTTATCTAACATATTTAGCTAATTCGAGCACTTCCCATTCTTGAAGACGGAACCAAACAGAACGTTCTCCATTTCAAATTTTGTCACATGCTTAATGCCACCTTTCTTATTTCTGCAGCATATTCTAGTATAGCTGCTTAGTTCTCGTCCTGTCTGTTCAGGAAGTTACTTATAAAGTGTGATCTTCAAAGTTCTATTTGTGCAGCAAGCAAAGGATTTGACAATGACATAGGCTAGCCTATTGGGACAGCTAAACATACTGCTTCAAAAGAATTTTAAAACTCAATCGACTAATTTTGTGTGTAAAACTAGCCATCTTGAGTCTTTTTTGCTCTCATATACTGTCACTTGTAATAAATTTGTTGAAATGTTAAATGTACTGTTAAATTGTTTGAAAAAATGGAAAATGTTTTCAGAATGTCTTTCCATGAAATAGTATACCATTAGCACTGCCTGGTTATGTATAACTTAGCATCCCTTGTAGGCCACGTATCTAACGCAATTCATGTATTTCTACAGTGATTGCTAGTGATCTTCCAAAGGTTCTAGTACTTGTGGAAACTTAGGATATGTCTTTTTGGTTCTTTATGTGAAGGTACTGGTGGATGTAGGATGTTTGTAGGAATTTGAGGTTTGTAGGAAGCCCTTAGTCATCATTTTGTGAATATTGTAAATTTTGTCAGTTTATGTTGATGGAAGTCAAGGAAATGCACCAATGAAAGAACGGTTTTGGCCAGTCATAGTGCAGGTGGTGAGAGAGTTCCATGGACCAGCCACAGTGCAGAGAGCTCTGTAGGCATGCCAGCTCTTTGAACTTTGACTAGGATTGGTTGGTTTTTCTCAGCCCTTATGTAGGAGTTGGAAGGCGTATTCTGTGACAATGGGGTTCTTGTCTCTCTCCATAGTTATATCATTATTATAAACAAGTATAACAGGAACCTCATGTACACAGTCAAGTGAAAACTTAAAAATCTAAAACTGCTGAAATAAGATTTAAGTTTGTGAAACAGACAATAGCACATTTAAAGAGAGATTGTATAGTCTGCCCCTAATACTTATTCCAATCCATTACGCACCTGGAACCTTTTATGTGCAGGGTACTACCTTAAAGTAGGAACACCTGATCTCCAGTCTTGACCTTTTGGGGTTTATTTATTACTTTCCAGCTTTCAAAAAATCTCTAAAGTTTAGAAGCATTTTGGTTCTTTAAGATCCAAACACTGTTAATGTATTCATATTCCTTGCAAGGGATTGGAGTCTGATCCTATCTTTAAGGTAACTTTGAATACACTTAGAATCATAGAATATTAGGGTTGGAAGGGACCTCAGGAGGTCATCTAGTCCAACCCCCAATTTTTGCCCCAGATCCCAAATGGCCCCCTCAAGGATTGAACTCTCAACCCTGGGTTTAGCAGGCCAATGCTCAAACCACTGAGCTATCCCTCCCCTCCACTTGAGAGGGTTAAATGGCATTCAATCCAACTGCAGTGAATATTTTTTTTTTCACTAGCAACCACATTGGATCCCAATGAAGAAATTTAATTCATCAAGATTCTTCCATTGGCTTTAGTGACCTTTAATTTCAAAGGATTAAATACAATGTTAGGAAAACTGTGATAGGGGATAGGAAATGTCCATTCATGATTGTATCAAGAACACTCTGAAAGTCTTCATTTTGTTATGGTACAAGCATCTGTCTGTCAGTTTTGTTCTTTTTTTGACCCATTATGATGTATTCTCGTAGGGATAATTAGAGTAAATAAAAGCACTTAATAAATGACACCACCTATTTTTGTATACAGTAACAACTGTTCACAAAAAAAAGAAAAAAGGTTTGTATGCTGAGAAACTGCACCAAATTTTAGCCAGGTAGGATATTCTAGTAAGGATCTGGAGTTTTAGTTATCAAAAAGATGTAGAAGAGCCTATTAAAGATTGTTTAAAATGTCCAGAAAGTTACCTGGTATCTCTGAAGTATAAGTGGGCTTTTATTAGTCTGATTATTTTTGGTGGTAGGTGGTATTTTAGTGACACCTATAGTTAAGGTTGGCCAGCGTTTTCTGTTGTATGATCTTGTTTGCAGTTACATGTAACTTTGCCAGAGTTAAACTGTTATGGCTGAAAATTCCCATCTGCTTTGTTGAGAACCTCTCACAACTTCGTTCTGTGGAACAAGGACTTGAAATGTGTCCGGTTGGTCGTCCTGGTGTCAGGGTGGGATGTCCGTTTGCCCTTCTGTTACAGAAATGTTTGCATGTGGCCAAGTTATAGGCCTTTGAAAAATCTGTATATGTTCAATAGAGACTTGTTAGAGTTTGACAGCTAAATTCTCTGATCATGCTCCAGCCCCTCACAGCTTCTACATGCCGACTGGAGTGTGCATGTGCCTTCCCCATAGAGTTATTGAACATGCTCCATCACAGGGCTGCAGCAGCTGAATAGGACTCTCTTTGCAATTGTCCTGCTGGAGGGAGAATGGAAACTTTTTTCCCTGTGCGCTCAATGCCTTCCCTTCTGGGGGTGTGGTTAGTGAGGAGGAGGAGGAGTTGGCCTGATTGACTGTAGAAAAGTGAGGGGTGGAGGGCAGGCAGGGGTAGAAGCTGGCAAGGGGTAGAGCTGAGGAACAGGTGCTGGAAAGGGAAGAGTGACAGGAACAGAGGGGGATAGAAACAAAGGGGAGAAAACTGAGCTGGGGGGAGAATAGGAGTGGCAGGGACTGTAGCAGAGCAGGAGTCAGGCATGGGGGTGATGAGTAGAAGCCGGGAGGGATAGTCACAGGGGAAAATTGGGGAGTGGGGTGGGTAGGAGCAGAAAGGGAGAAGGAGGTGGAAGGAGAGGGATGGGGTGGAAGGGTCTGTAACCACTAAAGCACGCTCCCCTACAGGACCTGGAAAGGAATCCATTTTCCCTGAGTCTCAACATTCTTTGTCTAGCAAACAGGTGTGAAACCCACTATCGAAGTATGTTTCCATCCCACTCTAATGGCAGGTACCCATGGTAGTAGGTAACTTCTGTACTACACGACACGCCCAACAAAGAAAGTAACAGAACACCACTAGCCATCACCTTCAGCCCCCAACTAAAACCTCTCCAATGCATCATCAAGGATCTACAACCTATCCTGAAGGACGACCCATCACTCTCACAGATCTTGGGAGACAAGCCAGTCCTTGCTTCCCAGACAGCCCCCCAACCTGAAGCAAATACTCACCAGCAACCACATACCATACAACAAAAACACTAACCCAGGAACCTATCCTTGCAACAAAGCCCGTTGCCAACTGTGTCCACATATCTATTCACGGTACACCATCATAGGGCCTAATCACATCAGCCACACTATCAGAGGCTCATTCACCTGCGCATCTACCAATGTGATAATATGCTATCGTGTGCCAGCAATGCCCCTTTGCCATGTATGTTGGCCAAACTGGACAGTCTCTACGTAAAAGAATAAATGGACACAAATCAGAGATCAAGAATTATAACATTCAAAAACCAGTCGGAGAACACGTCAATCTCTTTAGTCACTCGATAACCGACCTAAAAGTGGCAATTCTTCAACAAAAAATCTTCAGAAACGGACTCCAACAAGAGACTGCTGAATTGGAATTAATTTGCAAACTGGATACAATTAACTTAGGCTTGAATAAAGACTGGGAGTGCATGT